AACTATATATGGGAGCTATATCTAAATCTGAACCGATTTTCACGAAACTTTGCACACATTATTCTAGACTTAATTCAGTAGGCTATACTAAATTTCGTGCAAATCGAAATATATATAGAGACTTTGGTGCATCACTTACATTAAATCGGACGAAAATATATATGGGAGCTACATCTAAATCTGAACCGATTTTTCCCAATTCCAATAGGGTTCGTCCTTAGGCCAAATAAATGAGCTGTACCAAATTTCATCCAAATGGGATCATAAATGCCACCTGTACTTTTTTTCAGAAAAATACATGGACGGACGGACAGACATGCATAAATCGACTCGGATACAGCTCCCATTTATATTTTCGCCCAATTTTAGGTTAATGGTGCACTAAAGTCCCTATATATGTTTCGATTTACACGAAATTCGGCACAGTGTACTGAATTAAGCCTAGAATGATGAGTGGTGAGTTTCGTGAAGATCGGTTCAGATTTATATATAGCTCCCATATATATATATATTTTCGTCCGATTTAAGGTAAATGGAGCACCAAAGTCCCTATATAACTTTCGATTTACACGAAATTTGGCACAGCGTAATGAATAAGGCCTAGAATGATGTGTGCTAAGTTTTGGGAAAATCGGTTCAGATTTAGATATAGCTCTCATATATATTTTCGTTCGATTTAAGTTAAATGGAGCACCAAAGTCTCTAAATATCTTTCGATTTACACGAAATTTTGCACAGTGTATTGAATTATACCTAGGATGATGAGTGGTGAGTTTCGGGAAAATCGGTTCAGAATGGAGAATTTGGTTTTTTGTTTAATATTCCTCAGGAAACTGCTTTAACCTCGAATTTCTTTTGAATCTTTTTTTAAGTCCGACTTTAAGAGTTTATTTTTACACTCTTGCAGGTAATCTATGAATTTCTATGAAAAATTTGTAGAATATCTGGGCTTTGATGTGAGTAGCAACATCTGCTCTGGTCTATGCAGAATAATACGACCTTCTGGTCTTCTCTGAGAAATTGAGATCGTGTGTGCACTTTTTCACAACATTGTTCCCACTTAAATTCCGCAAAAACCCTCCTGCCCCAAATAAAATCAACTTCCAAGTTAATTTACAAATTTTCGCACACCCATTCGGGCAGAGACCGGAAAGTAGAAAAAAACGACCATACATTGAAATTAAGAAGAAGAGGATGAGGAGAAGTACCTACTTGATGAACTGTGATGATGATCCCCATCATCGTCAACATCATCATCATCATGGAGCTGTTGACTATCGTAGTCTATCTACATTGTTTGTTAATATACTTTATATAATAGCATTAAAAAAATAAAATAACTCAACATGAAGTAACAACAACAACAACAACAAAAACGAAAGCATCATCCTCGAAAATAGTTTAACAACTGTGGCAGCAGAAGCAGCATAAAAAACTGGCTGAAACTGGAAAAAACGCCGATGTTGTTGTCTTTTTATTGTAGACAACAATTGTTGGCCATAATTATAAAGCACTTGGGTGATTATCGCCAACAGCAATAACAACAACAACAACATGATATATATGTAGTGAAATGAATTCACAAAAAAATGTTTAGTACGGTATACAAAAAAAAATTGTTGTAGATTAGGGTGTTATTAAAAAAAAAAAAATTGATGAAGTTACAAAAAAAATCCAGGGGTCATATCAGAGTCTAATTATAAGTCTGTATTTTTTTTAAAAAATACTTTTAAGCATTGATTTTTTTAAATATTTTTTCAAGTTTTTTTTCAAATACCCAAGGGTATTTTAATCGTTCCACCCTAATAATAAAAAGCATAAATTATTTGTTATTTATTTTACTTTTTTTGTCTACTCTTTCTTTTTTGTATGTTTATGGGTTTATAGTTAACAGCGTATAGTTATAACATATATCATCCTCATCACCCACCAAGTGGAGCAAAAAAAATTTCAGAGATTTTTCTGAACTCTAAAGGCTAACTCGAGAGGGTAGTACTTCAGATGAAAGCGAAATAACTGACGAACTTTAAATGGATGCCGTTAATTAAACATGATTATAATAAGGCATGCAATGGACTACATATTAATACCCTTCACCACACTGTGGTACGGGGTATTATGTCTTTGTGCATATGTTTGTAACAGGCAAAAGGAATCGATATGGACCCATGGTTCCTTTTGAGAATATGCCTAGAATCACATTCTGATTCGATTGTACAGGTCGCATTTATGATCCCATTTGGATGAAATTTGGTACAGCTCATTTATTTGGCCCAAGGACGAAATTGGGAAAAATCGGTTGAGATTTAGATATAGTTCCCATATATATTTTCGTCCGATTTAAGGTAAATGGTGTACCAATGTCCCTATATATCTTTCGATTTGTACGAAATTTGGCACAGCGTAATGAATAAGGCCTAGAATGATGTGTGCTAAGTTTTGAGAAAATCAGTTCAGATTTAGATATAGCTCGCATATATATTTTCGTCCGATTTAAGGTAAAGGGTGTACCAAAGCCCCTATATATCTTCCGATTTGCCCGAAATTTGGCAAAGCGTATTGCATTAGGTCTGGAATGATGTATGTTAAGTTTCGTGAAAATCGGTTCAGATTTAGATATAGCTTCCATATATATTTTCGTCCGATTTAAGGTAAATGATGCACCAATGTCCCTATATATCTTGCAATTTGCTCGAAATTTCGCACAGCGTAATGAATAAGGCCTAGAATTATGTGTGCTAATTTTCGTGAAAATCGTTTCAGATTTAGATATAGTTCCCATATATAGTTTCCCCGATTTTAGGTAAATGGTGCACCAAAATTCCTATATATGTTTCGATTTGCACGAAATTTGGCATAGCGTACTGAATTGAGCCTAGAGTAAATCTGCCAAGTTTCGTGAAAATCGGTCCAGATTTAGATATAGCTCCCATATATAGCTTTGTCCGATTTAAGGTTAATGGTGCACCAAAGTCCCTATATATCTTGCGATTTGCCCGAAATTTGGAACAGAGTACGTGATTTAATGTAAAAGGTCCAGATATATCTTTCGATGTATTTGTCTAGCGTATTGAATTAGGTCTGTGAAAGTTTCGTGAAAATCGTTTCAGATATAGATATAGCTCCCATATATAGTTTTGTCCGATTTTATGTAAATGGTGCACCAAAGTCTCTATATATCTTGCGATTTCCCCGAAATTTATCATAGCGTATTGAATTGGGTCTGGAATTATGTGCGTTATATATCTTGAAAATCGGTTCAGATTTAGATATAGCTCCCATATATATTTTCGTCCGGTTTAATGTAAATGGTGCACCAATGTCCCTATATATCTTTCGATTTGCATGAAATTTCGCACAGCGTATTGAATTAACTCTGAAATGATGTGTCTTAAGTTTCGTGAAAATCGGTTCAGATTTAGATATAGCTCCCATATATATTTTCGTCCGATTTCAGGTACATGGTGCACCAAAGTCCCTATATATCTTTCGATTTGCAAGAAATTTCGCACAGCGTATTGAATTAATTCTAGAATGGCGTGTGTTAAGTTTTGTGAAAATCGGTTCAGATTTAGATATAGCTCCCATATATATTTTCGTCCGATTTTATGTAAATTGTGCACCAAAGTCCCTATATATCTTGCGATTTGCCCGAAATTTCGCACAGCGTATTGAATTAGATCTGGAATGATTATTTTAAAAATCCACGCCTATGGTAGGTTCTCCAAAAAGATTATTTTAAAAATCCACGCCTATGGTAGGTTCTCCAAAAAGATTATTTTAAAAATCCACGCCTCTGGTAGGTTCTCCAAAAAGATTATTTTAAAAATCCACGCCTATGGTAGGTTCTCCAAAAAGATTATTTTAAAAATCCACGCCTATGGTAGGTTCTCCAAAAAGATTATTTTAAAAATCCACGCCTATGGTAGGTCCTCCAAAAAGATTATTTTAAAAATCCACGCCTATGGTAGGTTCTCCAAAAAGATTATTTTAAAAATCCACGGTACGTTCTCGAAAAAATTATTTTAAGAATCCTTGAATAGGAGCTAAAAGCAAATCTTTTGAATCCCATTTTTTTTAAATAAAAAGATTTTCAAATTTAACGGTGACAAAATTTACTATTTTTATTATTTTTTTTTTTAATTTTTTTTCGGTTTCTTTTCTTTGTTTTTTTTCTGTTTGTTTCAAATAAAAAAAATTATTTATATATAAAAATATTAAAAACAATACTTAAAACTAAATAAAAAATGAGAAAATAAAAAAAAACTATTTACAATTGTAGCCAAAAAAGTGTTGCTCACGCTGAGAGAAAATGTGAAAAAATGTGACAAGAAGAGATCAACGTGAGAACAGTTTTTTTGGAACTACAAAGAAATGGAGAGAGAGAGGTGATCACTGAGGCCAGTGGATAGTTGTGGAAAATTGGGTTTGAAAAAATGAAAATGCAAAAAATTCAAATTCAACCAAAAATGAGAGAGAGAGAGATGAAAAAGCTGTCTCTCTCTCCTGAATTTGGCCAATTTGAATTTTGCGGAAACGGAAATATGTTTTGTTTTTTTTGTTTGTTTTTCTTTTCAAAAATTAATCACGTTGGTGTTATCCTTGGTCCGTGTGCGGGTTGTTTTTCCAAAAATACAAATAAACCACATAACCTTGGAGGGGGTTCGTTTTGCGAACCTACTTTTTCTTGCTTTTCTTTTTTGATTTTCCAAAGTTTTTTTGTGGTTTTTTATGTTTTCTTTTGTTGTTGTTGTTGGGGAGAAGATAGCAACGAACATCACTTCTCTGCTTTGGAGTTCGGGTTTTTTGTTTGTTTTGAAATTCAAATCCTTTTTTAAATCCGTTTTTCGGGGCGTTTTGTTAAAATCGGCGCTTATTCTGGTCTGCTTCTTCTTCTTCTTCCTTTTGTTCTTTTTTTGGCAGTTGGGCTTCTTGATTGATTTGTTAACTACATTATGCTAAAACGTCTAATCGGTTGTGGTCTAAATTTTCTGCAAAATTTAGAAGGGAGCACCATAGCTACCGCTGGGTCTGGAATAACCACCACCACCACCGCTGCTGTAGCCACCACCGCCGCCGCTGTAGCCACCAAATCCACCACCACCACCAGCCTGGGTGCTGGTCTGCAAATATTGGGCCACCTGGATGGCTTGGCGGACACCTTCCAAATCAATGCCAACAACACGGCCACCACCGCCGCCGCCACCACCGAAGGGAGCACCATATTGGCTGGATGGGGCACCATATGAACCCGAGGGAGCACTGGGATAACCACCACCGAAGCCGCCGCCACCACCACCACCTCCACGACCACCGGATTTGCTTTCCTCCTGCAAGAGGATTTGGCGGACCTGTTCCAAGAGCTGGGGATCGACATTTTGGCCCTCATAGGTTTGGGGTCCAATGGCTACTTGGCGATAACCGCCACCACCGCCGCCTCCACCGAAGCCGCCACCGCCAAAGCCACCACCGCCAAAACCGCCACCACCGAAACCGCCACCTCCAAAACCGCCACCACCACCGCCTCCATTACGTTGATAGTTGTAACCGGATGGTGGTTCCGCCACAGCCAGGGCAGCCAAGCCCAACACTACGAGCTGAAATGACAAAGAAACCCGGAAGCGTTGCAATAAACAAAAATCCTTTTACAGCATCACTCCCACCCGGTGATGGTGGAAGGGTGACGACGAGAGGAGATCCCGCTCCCTCTTAACTTACCACTGAGAAGGAGTTCATAGTCGTGTGTGTGTGTGTAAATGAGGGGAGAGAAAGAAAACTTAAATTAAAATGCAATAGACGTTGCTTTCAACTAGGCAACCGACGACTGAATGCCATCGATAGGCCACAGCGGCCCTCTTTATACCCAGATCGAAGAAAACCTCAGACGAAAATTAAAAAAACAAAAAAAAACTCAGTTCATCATTAGCCAAGCTCACAGTTCACACAACGCTCACAGACCACTTGGACGGCAGGCCAAGAGTTGAGTCAAGTCAATAGACCTCTTTGAAACCCGTCCACCAAAAACACAACAACACCAACAACCACCAACAAAAACCAAAACATTGTCTCATCATCATCGTCGTCGCCGTCTTGAGCATTGCCGGTTTGTCTCTTCGCCCTCATCTTTCGAACGCATTGTAACAGACAGACGCAAAACGCTCTTCAAGGAAACATCGAAACTTGATTGCCCGAATAGAAAATCCATCTCTATGCGGATTATTATTTTTTTATTTACTGCTACTTTTGTTGTTGTGGATTTTTTTTTTTTTTTGAAAATCTTGATTTTGGCCACACAATTACTGTACGTTTTTTTATTTGGCTAAGCAATTTGTCTTTGCTGCTCTGCTCTAAGCTAATACCGAACTCCTCATGGGTCATTTGTATGGACGAAGAAGTCTCAGCGTACATCTTTTTTGAATGCGATTATTATCTCAATTAACCACAAAAACAAAGACAAAAAAAAATCGGTAAGCTACTGCAAAATTAAATCACGAAGAAGAAGAAGAAGAAGTCGGAATTCCAAAATGGAATAGCGATTAGATGTTCCAAAGATTTACTTGGAAAAAAATACACACACCCACTCAAAAACCAGTAAGGAAATTAGTAAAGTCGGACTGGGCCGAATATATATTATACCCTTCACCACTTTGGGTATATTCTACATATGTATCCTAACAGACGTCTCGTTTTTGTTATACATATATCTATATCTGAACCGATTTCAGGAAAACTTGCCAATCGGCCTAGCTGTGGATCTTTTCACGAAGCTTAGCAACATCATTATAGACTTAATTCAGTACCCAATACCAAAATTCGTACAAATCCAATGATTTTCAGAGACTTTGGTGCACCAATTACCTAAAATCGGATCAAAATATATATAGGGGAGCTATATCTAAATCTGAACCGATTTTAACGAAAATTTGCACGCATCATTCTAGACTTAAGTCAGTGCGTTATGCCAAATTTCGCGCAATTCGAAGTATATATAGGGACTTTGATGCACTATTTACATAAAATCGGACGAAAATATATATGGGCGCTATATCTAAATCTGAACCGATTTTCACGAAATTGTACACACATCGTTCTAGACTTAATTCAGTGCGTTATGACAAATTTCGTGAAAATCGAATGATTTTCAGAGACTTTGGTGCACTAATTACCTAAAATCGGACGAAAATATATGTGGGAGCTTTATCTAAACCTGAACCGATTTTCACGAAATTTAACATACATCATTCTAGACTTAATTCAGTACTTTATACCAAATTTCGCGCAAATCAAAGGATATATAGGGACTTTGGTTCACTATTTCCCTAAAATCGGATGAAAATATATATGGGGCTATCAGTAGTGTTGGCGGGTTATTTGGGATACCATTTGTTAGTTTTTTTTATAAAAAACAACTATTTATTAGTGGGGAATGTATGGCATTGTCCGCCGAGGGGTAAGGCAGGGAAGATTATAGTTTCGGATCTCGCCACTGATCCTCATCAGTTTCCTTAGTTTTTTGTTGGGATATTCTCCCCAGAAGCTATTTATTGCTTCTTTACAAAAAACCTTTCATACCCAAATGTCTCTTGTGACAATTCGAAGTTCTTACGTTACCAGCGATACGACCCCAATGAGAAGTTGGTGAGACTTTGGTGCACCAATTACCTAAAATCGGATGAAAATATATATAGGAGGGCTATATCTAAATCTGAACCAATTTTCACGAAATTTTACACACATCGTTCCAGACTTAATTCAGTGCGTTATGCCAAATTCCGCGCAAATCGAAGGATAAATAGGGACTTTGATGCACTATTTCCCTAAAATCGGACGAAAATATATATGGGAGCTATATCTAAATCTGAACCGATTTTCATGAAATTTAACACACATCGTTCTAGATTAAATAAAATGCGACCTGTACTTTGTTTACAATTTAACATGGACAGATGGACGGACGAACGGAAATGGACTTAATATGTGATTCTATGCATAATCTCAAAAGGAACCATAGGTCTATATCGTTTCCTTTTGCCTGTTACAAACATATTCACAAAGGCATAATACCCTGTACCACAGTGTAGTGAGGGGTATAAAAATGTTTTTCAAGGGTTCAATAGGCAATCTCAAATTTAAAACCAGTGAGCGGAGCAGTATAGTCGGACGGGGCCGACATACGTTACAACGGAACTATAACTTTCTGCGGATGTTTATTACAACATCCGGGCAATATTTCATGATATCTACACCCTGTTGCCCGATTAGAGGTCAACAGCACCTCTTCCTTACACTGACATATTTTCCGAATATTACTAATATTCTGACATCATTCTGAATGACATCAGTTTTGAAATTCGGAAAAAGAATTGTGATGGCCAACAGATGATACTATGGTCTAAGTAAGCAGTTTAGAAACAAGGACACCTTCTGTCAGACCAAACTCACACTTTACAAGACGCTGATACTACCCATGCTATTATATGGATCAGAAGCATGGATACTTGCGCAAGCAGATGCGGCAGCTCTTGGTGTGTTTGAAAGAAAAATTCTCCGAAAGATCTACGGGCCGATCTGCGTCGACGGTGAATATCGGCGTCGAATGAACCACGAGCTCTACAATTTATACGCGGACATCGACATAGTCAGTCGTATTGAGCTGCAGCGATTACGGTGGCTAGGCCATGTTGTGCGGATGAATGAGAATGCCCCAGCTAAAAAGGCATATAAAAACGAGCCTACTGATGGTTCCCGTAGAAGGTGAAGGCCACGAATTAGATGGAAAGACCAAGTAGAAAACAACATCTTGGAACGTGGTCTTCCAAATTGGTGGAATTGCGCACAAGACCGACGCGCTTGGAAATCTTTTTTAAGCTCGGCTTATGGAACAACCGTTCTGTAACAAGCCAGCTAAGTAAGTACTAATATTCTGTACAGTCCTTATAATTACTTGTCCAGATTCTCTTCACCGTGGGTTGTGTTGTGATGTTTGGCTTTTAATTGTGGCGTATAGATCGACTGAAAAAAAAATCCAAAAAAAAAATATTCGGTCCACTTCATCCCAACATGTTTATCTGATCATCACCGAAAATTATAGGCGCTGTCCTTGACCATAACTGAAACCTCGTGCACAATTTCAAAGCGATCAAGCTATATTTCCCCCCTCCAGTGTGGTAATGGTCTACTAAATAATATATGAATACCTAAGCATCTGTAAATATTTTAGTGTAACTCCCACATCCGAGTACATATGACAATATTTATTGGTATCAATTTGAAGGACAACCACTCCTCTTGGACATACTATTAACTTCTCGGGTCTATGTTCTTCATTTTTCACACAATAAATAGTTTTTTTTTAATAAAAATATTGTTTTTGAAATAAAAACAATTTAAATTTTTTAAGGGCCCTGAGCAGGTTTTAAAACATATATATATATATATATTAAAGATTTATTTTAAGGTTTTTAGGCAATGTTTTTTTTCTAAAAAAAAAAAAAAAACAGTAGAGAAGTATAAACTCCATTTCCATTTTTTATTCAAATAAAAAAACTCATTGCAGTTAACGGTGACAAAATTTACTATTTTTTTATTGTTTTTTTTTTTAATTTTTTTCTTTTGTTGTTTCTTCTTTCTTTCTTTGTTCTTTGTTTGTTTCATAGTTACACATAGTTTATATAAAAAACATTACTTACAAACTAATGATGAAAATGTTAATTCATTAAAAAAAATTAAGAAAAACTATTTACAATAAAAAAAAAAACTAACAAATGTTACTCTCATTGTTATGGAAAAATGTTGCGGAAAAATAACGTTGAGGTTAGGAAATAACAATGAGAGACACCATTTGTTGTGAGAGTCCTCTGAGTTGTGTGTGTGTGTGAGTGTAATGAGGTGATAGTAGGATATTAAAATTTGATAGACGGAAATGAAAATGAAATTAAAAACAAAACATGGAGTTTTGTTTGGAAAACAAAAGGAAAATTGTAAAAATTTCCTTTTTCGATTTTGTTTTTTCTTTTGTTGGTAACAAATGGTTTTGCAAAAATTTTTGAAAAAACTACAACACAGCTGTGCTCACATTACAACATCTCACATTTGTGGATGTTTTTGTTGTTGTTGTGTCCATTTGTTTTAATTGCGAACATCACTTCTCGAATTTGAATGGCTGGAATTTGATGTAATCTTTGATGTTGAAATTTATAGATTGGCGATGATGATGGTGACATTTCAATCCGTATTTTGTTGTTATTGTTTCGCTTATTTTTCTGCTGAATATTTGGCAGCGATTTTGTTTTTTTTCTTCTTCTTCTTTTACTAAATCTTAGGCTAGAAAGCTAAAACGGCATCAAATCAAATCTTCGATCTAGAATGGGGCACCATAACTGCCACTGGGTCTTGAGGGAGCACTATAAGATCCCGATGGACCGCTGGGATAACCGCCACCACCGCCGCCGCCGCCAGCTTGTGTACTCTGCTGGGCGAATTGAGCCACTTGGATGGCTTGACGTACACCCTCCAAGTCAATACCCACAACACGGCCACCACCACCGCCGCCACCGCTTGGAGCACCGTATTGGCTGGAGGGAGGTCCATAGGAGCCCGAAGGACCACTGGGATAGCCGCCACCACCACCGCCGCTACCTCCACCACCACCAGATTTGCTTTCTTCCTGCAACAAGATCTGACGGACTTGCTCTAACAGCTGGGGATCAACATTTTGGCCTTCGCTGGTTTGGAAACCTCCGCTGACGGCTTGATAGCCACCGCCGCCACCACCACCGAAACTGCTGCCACCGCCAAAGCTGCTGCCACCACCAAAGCTACCACCGCCGCCGCCACCACCTCCACGTGGATAGTTGTATCCCGACGGTGGCTCTGCCACAGCCAAAACGGCCAAAGTCAACACCACGAACTGTAAAAAGGACAAAAAATGCAAATGAATATCCTTCGATCATCTCCAACATCAGCAGTACTTACCACGGAGAAGGAGTTCATAGTTGTGAGTTTTGAGTGAGTGTGTGTGTATGAGGGGGGTAGAGAAGTAAAAAACAGTTATAATTTAGTTGCTTTCAAGTAGGGAATCGACGACTGAATGCCAATGAAAGGCCACCACCAGCCCTCTTTATACCCAAAGCGTTGTTGTCGTCGTCGTCGCCGTTTTGCTGTCATCCATACTGCAACACAACAACAACAGCAATAACAAAAACAATTACAACATGTATTCTCCAAAACTCCATTTTTTGTTTGTTTCATTTTCGAAATGATGAGCATGCTGCTAAAGGGGACAACAGATGTATGGCGCAGGCGCAACACCACCATGGCCATACGAGTGCCATAAGAGTTTTGCCTGAAAATAAGACAAAAAACAATAACAACGAGAACACGAAAATTAAAGAAAAAACACTCATTCCAAAAAAAATATCGATTCTAAAGATTTCAACATTTTCAATTACAACGATGGAATAGTTTCTATATATTTTGTTATCGATAACAAGGTTTCCTTAGATAATTTAATAAAAAAAATTTTAAATAGCAATGTAAATTATGGAAAATGTAGACGATAACATGATTTTCTATAGAAACTATTTTCGATAACATTTATTTCTCTTGAAAATGCTATCGATAACACAATTTTCTATACATAATATAAACAATAACAATATGTTTTATGGAAGATATAATCGATAACAAACGTTTCCATACTAAAAATCTAAAAAATTGTTATCGATAACACAATTTTCTATATATAATATAACCAATAATAACAAACATTTCTATACTAAAGATCGTGGCCGATAACAAGATTTTGTAAAAGACAACATAATCGATAACATGATTTTTACGAGTATGCATATTACCATTAACAAGATTTTTTTAGATAAAATGTACCGATAACATAATTTTATATAATAAACATAAACCACAACAAAATATTCTATATAAAATATCGCCGATAATAAGATTTTCTACTTTGAAATTGATCGATAACAACATTTTTTATACATTATATCATCAATAACGAGATTTTCTTCATTAAAAATATTATCGATAACAAAAAATTCTATATAAAATATCACCAATAAAAATATGCTCTATATATAGTAATCGATAAAAAAAAATTTATATTTAATATGTGCAGATACCATGAATTAATGTAAAAACTATCGATAACATGATATACTAACTTAAACATTTTGTCGATTTATATGGTTATCTATAAAAAATATTATCGATAAATGTCGACAACATTGAAAAAATATCATCGATAACTATAATTTCAATTGAAAATATTATCGATAACACAAATGTTATAATGAAAATATAATCGATAACAATTTTTCTATATTATATTTTCTATATTTTATTGGTAAAAAGTTTTTTTTGTAACAAGATTTTTTGTAGAAAATGTTACCGATAACAAGATTTTCTATGGAAACTATTACCGAAAAATAGATTTTCTATAAAAATATTACCGATAACAAAATTTTCTAACGAAAATATTACCGATAACAAGATTTTCTACAAAAAATATTATCGATAACAAGATTTTTTATAGAAACTAATACCGATAACATGATTTTCTTTGGAAAATGTCACCGATAACAAAATTTTTAACGAAAATTTTACCGATAATAAGATTTTCTATAGAAAATATTACCGATAACAAACAAAATATTACCGATAACAAAATTTTCTTTGGAAAATATCACCGATAATAAAATTTCCTAAAGAAAATATTACCGATAACAAGATTTTCTATAGAAACTAATATCGATAACAAGATTTTCTACCAAAAATATTATCAATAACCATGCGTTCTACAAGAAACTGTTATCGATAAAAAAATATTCTATAGAACATTTCATTGATACCAAGATAGTCTGTAATATTTAATTTAAAAATATATTTTAATTAAAAAAATATTCCAAGATTGGAGTTTAAGTTTTTATTTTTTCTAGGCAAAATGTAATGCATCTGTTCATATTTGGCCTTACAATGCTATCATTCATGGCTCTAACAGATACCAACAAAAAACACATTTTATTTCTTGTAAATAAAAAACCAAAGAGGAAGAACGTAGGCCGGAGGGGGGACAATTGGGCATTGCGTGTGTAATATTTTTGGTCATTGTGACCAAAATGCTTGGTTTGTTTCGAACATCTTCTCTCTCAGTTAATGCCTTGGCTAAGTGTGACGATGATCTTCATGGCGATCATCGCCACGATGATGACGATGATAGTCGTCATGATGATGACTTCTGCTGGTTGCATGACGATTTTTTGTTAATTTGCAATTTTTTTGTTGTTTTTTTTTTTATTTATTTTTTTGTTTTTGTGGTTAAATTACCGTATTGCTTACAACCATCAGCCAGCCAACAAACCGGCATCTTCATTACCCTCTCCTCCATTTCATTTTCCATTTTTTCGTTTTTCTTTTCAAAATAAAAAATGTTTTCTTTTCTCATCAAAAAATAGTTCCCTGGCAAACATTTTTTTTTTTTTTTTTGGTTTGGAGAAAAATGCCCCCAACAACAAAGAAATATTTGCATCTGCATTTTTTGGTTTTGTTTTTAATTTTATTTGCCATCCATTCATCCGTTTTGAGTTTTTTCTTTTTGGCTAAGAGGAAGTATTTTAGCCCACTCAAAACAAAGACCCCTTTGGCTCAAGCAAGAAAATGGAGACAAATCTGCAAGGTATTGCATGTATTCACTTCTTATTGTTGTTGTTGCTGTGTCCATCCAATCACACATACACACATGTGTCAATATTTGATTTCCAATCGTGTAACAGTCATTAACATCTTCGACTCTCTGCATTTCCCTGTCTCTCGCTCTCCCTCTCTCTCTCTCCCTTCTATTTTGCAGTTGATTTTGGGAAACTGAACCCTGACATATTGCAGTTGGTGTTGTTGTTGCTGCTGTGGCTGTTACATCGACGATCAAGGGATTATTTCCTGTTTGTTTGCAGCTACCATCTCTGGTTTGAAGTGGTCATTGGCGAATTTCATTTAATAATGCAAAAACGAACGAATTCCCAACTGTTATGCAAACTTTTTAAACAGACAGGGGGATGAGGGAGAGAGACATCATTTTTGGTTTTTTAGGAAGAGAGTTTTCTTCATTTCAGATGCCAGTATTGACATTTTGGAGTTGACAATGTTCAAAGGAAATTAACGGGAATTTTACTATTTGGCATCAAAGTAAGATGGGAAATAATTTTGTTACCGAAAATATTTTCCATGAAAGAAAATATTTTTCAATGTTGCAAATATTTTCTATCGAAAATGATTGTTATCGACAATGAAATTATTTTTATAGATGCCAGTTATCGATAATATATTTTACAGAAAATATTGTAATCGATAATATATTCTAAAGAAAATACAAAGAGTTTGTTATTGATAATAATTTCTTAAAAAATATTGTTATCGATAATTTTTTTTTTTTTAATATTTTTATCGATAATTTTTTATAAAAAATATTTTTATTGATACTTTTTTTATAAAAAATGTTGTTATCGATAATATTTTCTATAGAACATTTTGTTATCGGATGTATTGTTTACATAACAACTTTTTATCGATACATTTTTCTTTAGAAAATCTTGTTTTCGACAACATTTTCAATAGAACATCTTGTTATCGATAATATTTTCTAAAGGAAATCTTGTTATCGACTCATTTTTCTTTAGAAAATCTTGTTATCATTAATATTTTCTTTTTAAAATGTTGTTATCGATAATATTTTCTATAGAACATTTTGTTATCGGATGTACTGTTTACATAACATCTTCTTATCGATACATTTTTCTTTAAAAAATCTTGTTATCGACAATATTTTCTATAGAACATCTTGTTATCGATAATATTTTCTAAAGGAAATCTTGTTATCGACTCATTTTTCTATAGAAAATCTTGTTATCGATAATGTTTTCTATGGGAAATCTTGTTATCATTAATATTTTCTTTATAAAATATTCTTATCGTTAATATTTTCCTTATAAAATCTTGTTATCGATTATATATTCTATAGAAAATGTTGTTATCGAAAATATTTTTTAGATAATCTTATTATGGTTAATATTTTTCTGCAGAAAATCTTGTTATCGATAATATTTCCCATAGAAAATCAAGCCATCGATAATTACTTTCATTAGAAAATCTTGTTATCGACAATATTTTCAATACAAATATAGATAATATTTTCTATATTAACTCTTGTTATCGACGCATTTTTTTAGAAAATCTTGTTATCATCAATATTTTCTTTATAAAATCTTCTTATCGTTAATATTTTCTATATAAAATCTTGTTATCAATGATACATTCTATAGAAAATTTTGTTATCGAAAATATTTTCTTTAAATAATCTTAATATGGTTAATATTTTCTATAGAAAATCTTGTTATTGGTAATATTTTCAATAGAAAATCTTGTTATCGATAATATTTTCTGTAGAAAATCGTGTCATCGTTAATATTTTCTTTAGAAAATCTTGTTATTGTATGAAAATTTTATTATCGATAATATTTCCATAAGATAGTCTTGTTATCGGTAATTGTTTCTATAGAATGCAAAGAAAAAATTAGAAAATATTAATTTTGGGAATAAATTACAAGTACTACCATCATTAGTAATCATTTCTACCTGAGCATGTCAGACTGTGGAAAAAATCAAACCAAATAAACCATCCTACCAGGCAACCAAATTACAAGCCCATCTTCAAGTAAAAGTAGTTATTTTGTATTTATGTGTCTGCTTCGTTTCACTACTGTATTTTTTTTTTTTTTTTTTTTTTGTGGATTTTAATTTTTCAACACAATACTTGCTTACATAAATAATAAAAATAGTAACCATAAATTATCAGCAGATGTAGCACCCTCGGAGAGTAAAATAGAAGTTACCGCAGGAAAGTAAAAGTAAAAATATTTTCTTAGGGGGGAGATTTAATTTGGCCAAGACCAGTCAATGGTGATGATGACTACAGGTGACTAACTTCGTTGTTGTTGTTGTTATTGTTTGGATAACAACATAACGTAATTGTTGTGTAGTGTCTGTGGCGGGAAGCAGTATTTGGCCAAAAATGTG